CATCTGCTTATTTTTTAAAAAATATATTTTATTGATTTTTTACAGAGAGGGAGAGAGAGAGAGAGAGAGAGAGCCAGAAACATTGATGAGAGAGAAACATCGACCAGCTGCCTTCTGTACACCTCCCACCGGGGATGTGCCCGCAACCAAGATAAATGCCCTTGACCAGAATTGAACCTGGGACCCTTCAGTCCGCAAGCTGACGCTCCATCCACTGAGCCAAACTGGCCTCAGCCCATCTGCTTATTTTTAAAAGAATGTCTGTTCAAGGTCTTTGCTCATTTTAAAAATTGCTGACTTTTAAGAATTCTATGTTCCTAATACCAGTCTTTAATGAGATAAAACTCGCTTGATGAATCTGTTCAAACTCCAACTATGATATTTACCTTCTCATGCCTATGGACCTCTAAGTGTTCCCGCATCACTTGTTGGAAAGTGTATCCTTCCTCCATGGAATAGCCTTCACACCTGTGTCAAACAGTTGAGTATGTTTGGTGTATGTTCATTTTTCTTTGTTGGATCTCTATTCTGCTCCACTTACATATATGTTCATCCTTTCACAGATATTATCAATACCAATACAACATACAAGTGGTAAAATATGTTGGTAGCAGCCCTTGTATGATGGTTCTTTTAGTCAGAATTGTTTTCCTATTGCCAACCTGACAAATATTACCTTTACCAGGAGATCCATGTGAAGTCATTTTCATATTTCCTACCCCTCAGAGGAAGAGACTTCAATTCCAAAATGCATACCCCCTTTTAGTGAGGGAACCTTATACCAACCCAAAGGATGGATGAATATACAAAATACCCAATTAGTAATCCTCTAAATCAGTGTTTCCCAAAGTGTGGTACGTGTACCCCCAGGGGTACAGGAAGTTTGGTGGGAGTACGAGTTGCACCGGAGTTTGGTGGGGATATGTACTGCACCATGCTTAGCTGTGCCTAATTCTATTTTCTCATGAGTACGAGGGATACTCAGCGTTATGAAAATTATAGAAGGGGTACGCATATGTCAAAAGTTTAGGAAACACTGCTGAATCTAAATAATTGAGGTCCCAAATAAGAAAAAGACTGAGAAATGGTCACAGAACAGAGATAACCAAGGAAATGATGTCTAAATGCAGTATTGTATTTTGGGTGGAATCTTGGGACACAAAGGATTGAAGTGGAAAAACTTGTGAAACCCAAGTAGAATTTATAATCTGGTTGTATACTATACTAGCTAATTTCTCAATTCAACAAATGTAGCATGGTTATATTAAATGGTCACATGGTGGGAAGATAAATGAAGTTATTTGGGAACTCTTTGCAGAAGTACCTTGTGAATTTTACTTAAGTATAAAAATTGGCCAAAATGAAAAAGTTTATTAAAAATAGGTCTAATCTGTGACAATTATAACTAGAGGTCCCGTGCACAGGTAGGTTCCCCAGTGCAGTGGTCGGCAAACCTTGGCTCTCCAGCCACATGCGGCTCTTTGGCCCCTTGAGTGTGGCTCTGCATTAGAACCACTTCTTCAAAATAGACTCGCCCAGGCCGAAAACCAACTTCTGCGCATGGGCCACGGAGTTTTTTACTCGCACTGTACGTGCGTGCCTGCATGTGGTATTTTGTGGAAGAGCCACACTCAAGGGGACAAAGAGCCGCCTTCTCTGAGGTTTACATCTAAGCCACACATCCCCCCAAAATAAGGGTTCATCGGCCCCAGAACAGACCTACAAGAATGCTCACAGCCCTGCACGGTTTTGCTCAGTGGATAGAGCGTTAGCCTGCGGACTGAAGGGTCCCAGGTTCGATTCCGGTCAAGGGCATCTGCCTTGGTTGCGGGCACATCCCTAGTAGGGGGTGTGCAAGAGGCAGCTGGTCGATGTTTCTAGCTCTCTATCCCTCTCCTTTCCTCTCTGTAAAAAAAAAAAAAAAATCAATAAATTATATTTAAAAAAACAAAGCTAATATTATATATATGTTTTATATATCTATATGTCTATATCTATCTACATATATCTAATTCTACATATCTATATATCTACATATATCTATATAAATATATAGATATATAATTTTTTAAAAATATATATTTTATTGATTTTTATACAGAAAGGAAGGGAGAGAGATAGTTAGAAACATCAATGGGAGTCATCGATCAGCTGCCTCTTGCACACCCCCTACTGGGGATGTGCCCGCAACCAAGGTACATGCCTTTGACCGGAATCGAACCGGGGGCCCTTCAGTCCCCAAGCCGACGCTCTATCCACTGAGCCAAACCGATCCGGCAGATATATATAATTTTTTTTAAAATGTCCACAGCAGCGATGCCCATCACCAACTGCAAACAGCGCCCGAGCGCTCCCAGCAGGGAAACCGCCTCAGGCTCCAGCCAGGAGGCCGCCCCCACCCCACGGCCGAGGCCGGAACCTCAGCCCACCCCCAGCCCGGCCCGGCGGCCGGGGCTTCCGCCTCGCGATACCCGGATCACCCGCCCGTTACTCTCCCCGAACCCGGACCTGATCCCGTCATTACCCTCGAACCCGGACCCGACGCCCGTCATTGTCCCCGAACCGGGACCCGACGCCCACACACGCCGCCCCCGCTTCCCCGAGCCCCACGGGAACCCCGAACCGTAACCCGACTCCGCGGCCATCCGAACTGCCCCCCGCCCTCCCGGAGCCCCGCACAGGCCCGGACAGCCGGGACCCTGTCCACCGACCCCGCGTCGCCGATGCCCCCAAAGGTGACCAACCTCCCGCTTTTGGCGGGACAGCCCCGATATTTAACAATTTGCCCCGCGTCCCACGGCGTTTAAAAAAGTCCCGATTTTTGGAAAGAATGCGGCCCAACGTTACACTCCCGCCAACGGAACCGACAGCTGGAATCGGCGCTCCTTTATGACGTCAGCCCCTCCGCCAGCCGCTGGCCTGAGCCTTCCCGCGGTCTCTGCCGCCCCCTGGTGGTCAGCGCACATTACAGCGCGCAGTCCCGCTCCCACCTGAGGGGACCATGTGCATTTTATTATATGGGATGAAACAGGTGAGATCTAATCTTATTTTAATTTCTCATAGTTCCATATGATAAATCCTGTATGTACGCCTACATGTAATTAATGTTAAGTGGCTAAAATAGCATCCTGGATGCTAGAAACAGGATTACTAGAGCAACATAAAAGTTATGTTTCAGCCCTGGTGGGTTTGGCTCAGTGGATAGTGCACAGGCCTGTCCAGGGTTCCATTCCCGCCAAGGACACAGGCCCAGGTTGTGGGCTCAATCCCCGGTGGGGGGGAGGGGGCGTGCAGGGGGCAGCCACACAATGATTCTCTCTCATCATTGATGTTTCTTTTCTTTTCTTTTTTTTTCTTTCAGGAAAACCAGTAGGAGAGAGGGGTCTCATCATTGATGTTTCTATCTCTCCCTCTCCCGTCTCTCTGAAATTATGTGTGTGTGTTACTTATTTACATAGTCTTGAAATATGTTTCGGTTCTTAAAAATCACTTCCTGCAAGAAATTTCCCACCACAAGCTTCGCATTGGTTTGCATTTACTGGATAATTATATATACCAGACCTTTTCTCTTTACAGGATTTTATTATTTTTTTATTTTAATATATATTTTATTGATTTTTACAGAGAGGAAGGGAGAGAGATAGAGAGTTAGAAACATCGATGGGAGAGAAACATCAATCAGCTGTCTCTTGTACACCCCCTACTGGGGATGTGCTTGCAACCAATGTACATGCACTTGACCGGAATCGAACCTGGGATCCCTCAGTCTGCAGACCGACGCTCTACCACTGAGCCAAACCGGTTTCGGCAAGGATTTTTTTTTTAAAATAGATTTTTATTGCTGAAACTGGTTTGGCTCAGTGGATAGAGCATTGGTCTGCGGACTGAAGGGTCCCAGGTTCAATTCCAGTCAAGGGCATGTACATTGGTTGCAGGCACATCCCTGGTGGGGGATGTGCAGGAGGCAGCTGGTCGATGTTTCTAGCTCTCTATCCCTCACCCTTCCTCTCTGTAAAAAAAAAAAAAAAAAAAAAAAAAAAATGTATTTTTTTAAAAAGATTTTTTTTTTATTGATTTGAGAGAGAGAGGAAGGAAGAGACATAGAGAGAGAGAAATATCAATGAGAGAGAAACATCCATTGGCTGCCTCCTGCATGCCCCCTACTGGGACAATGAATCACAACATAGGCATGTATTCTGACTGTCCTGATCTGGAATTGAACCAGTTACCCATTGGTTCATGGATGGACACTGAGCCATGCAGCGGGCTCTTATTGCTGGTACATGGCTCTGACAGTAGGGTGTGACTTTTGGAACCTCATATGCAGAAAGGATCCTGGAGACCTGCAGGATCCTGGTCTCACTGGCGAAGGCTCACCTCTCCTCCATGCACAGGTCCCATTCCTAATGTTATTCTCTCCTCTACGTGCAGAGCGGTTGTAGGAGACCTCTGTGCTCACCATGTCTTCCCTGCAGCCCAGACCATATTCTGAACACACGTTGTCCTTTTCAGTTCCCTTTTGTCTGCGTGAGGGATCTTTGTGTTCCAACATAGCTTGCTGTGTGTTTTTGCATAAAAACCCTTACCCTATTACCCAGCACACTCTGGCCACAACTGAGACCCTTACTCCAGATTCCAGTTAACCAAGAGATACAAAATACATTTTTAGGATACAGGCTATATTTTTAAAAAATTAAATGTAGGTCATTTTATTTTTTATTATTTTTTAAAATATATATTTTATTGATTTTTTACAGAAAGGAAGGGAGAGAGATAGAGAGCTAGAAACGTCGATGAGAGAGAAACATCAACCAGCTGCCTCCTGCACATCCCCCACCGGGGATGTACCCGCAACCAATGTACATGCCCTTGACCGGAATCGAACCTGGGACCTTTCAGTCCACAGACCGACGCTCTATCCACTGAGCCAAACCGGTTTCGGCAAAGTAGGTCATTTTAAAGAGAATAATAATGATAGTCATAGCTAAAGTCTCATAAGCATGGACCTGGTATTAAGTTAGTTTCAGACACAGTTCAAACTTCATTTGACTTCTAACATTATTTCCATTTTTTAGCTTTGAGTTTTTAAAAAATATATTTTTATTGATTTCAGAGAGAAAGGGAGAGAGATAGAGAGAAACATCAATGATGAGAGAGAATCATTGATTGGCTGCCTCCTGCACGCACCTACTGGGGATTGAGCCTGCAACCCAGTCATGTGCCCTTGATTGGAATCGAACCTGGGACTCTTCAGTCTGCAGGCCTGCAGACCGAGGCTCTATCCACTGAGCCAAACCGGTTAGGGCAGATTTGAGATTTTTTTTACTTATTACTTTGCTCTTTGTATTTTACAATATTTTATAGTTAACTGAAAGAAACGATGTCAATGGAATGAGAAAATGCCAACTGAGCTACACCAGCCAAAGCCAAAATTTATCATAATTGAAGTTCAAATTATAACTAAATTATAGAACTCCAATTGAAGTTAATATTAGACATCTCAATTGAAAGGCTGGTCCTACGTTCTTGCGTTACATTTGCCATATACATATATATTTAATGATGTAAGTAGGTTATTTATGTAATAAATTACTCCAGACTCTGCAATGCAGGCATACCTCCTTTACTGTGAGCGGCTGAATCGGGCTCACAGATAATGTCTTTTCATCAACATGAACTCCAGTCCCTTCATCACGAAAAAAATGACAACTTTCTTTAGGCATTTTCAAGATGACTCTTTCATAGGATATATTTCTTTTTTAAATCCTCACCTGAGGACATTTTTTACTTTATTCCCAATTCAATCTTGGCTGCCACAATCAGACAGAAAGCGCAAGGTGCCTTTTTCTCTTGCATCTTTCTCTTGCACCCATTGATTTTTAGAGATGGCAGAAGAAAAAGGGAAAGGCAGAGAGAAACATCAGTACCAGAGGGACACATGGATTGGTTGCCTCCTGCATGAGCGTGGGGCCAGGGAGGAGCCTGCAACTTAGGTGCCTGCCCTTGACCTGAACTGAACCAGGGAGGACCCTGCCCTGCGGTCTGCAGGCCCAGGCTCCTGCAGTGAGGCGGAAAAACTCTAGAACACCGGCTGGCATTTTTTTAAAAAAATAATATATTTTATTGTGGAAGTATTATTGATTTGGAAAAAAATGCTAAGTAATTGATTTACTACCTAAAAAACTTAAAGTTCTGAAAGTTTAAGGTCTCTTGCCAAAAAGAGGTTTTAAAGCTAACACCTTAATTTTAATGGAGAAAGGGGAGGACAAGCCCTTCCCAAGCAGAACAGGTAATCCAATTCCAGCCAGCCTCGATCTTTAAACAATGTGTTCATTTACATTTGAATGGCTATGCCTTTTGATAGCCTAAGGGCAAGTTTACATGTAAACAAGTTTGCTTCTCAGTTCCCAGCAGAAAAAACAAGGCTTAAAATTATTAGATTTTAAAATTGATTCTTAAAAATATAAAAGTTTATTAATTAAGAAAAAACAAGGAAATTAAAAAACCTGATGAACAATATTAACTGTTGATTTTAATAGAATCAGAGATACGGGAGGGGAGTGGACTGACAATTCTCCGGTAAAAGGGGAGTGGTGGGTGCGGGAAGAGATTGAACATAAACTGTGCACCTATGGGTGAGGACAATGGGGGGTGGGGAGGGGGCGGGGGGTGGGATGGGAACCTGGTGGAGGGGGGAAGAAATGAGGAACCTCTGTAATAATATGAACAATAAAGATTGATTTTAAATAAAAAATAAAATAAAAATAAATTTAAAATATATATATATTATATATGTATATTTTTTATTGATTTCTTAAGAGAGGAAAGGAAACATAGAGAGAAATATCCATCAGCTGCCTCCTGCACACTCCCCATTGGGAATGTGCCCGCAACCAAGGCACATGCCCTTGATCGGAATCGAACCTCGATCCTTGAGTCTGAGGCCGATGCTCTATCCCTTGAGCCAAAATATTCAGGACCCGGCTGGCATTCTTATTAAGCTAGTTACCAAGAACGCCCCCTCCCCCCGAGTAGCAACGAGCTTAGCCAATGAGCGGTCAGAAAAGGCACTTCCGGTGCGGCTCAGACGCAGAGGCGGGACTTCCGGCGTCTTCCTCACTGAGGCGTATTTTCTTCATCGGAAATCAGGCTGCAGCCTGCCTGTCCTGGTGGAGAGACCTTAAGGGCGGAGGCGGGAGAGTCGTGTTCCTCCGCGCAAATATACGGATTTTAAACTCCCCGTCGCAACCCCGGGGACCTGGGCCGGGGCCGGGACAGAAACTGCCATTCCTGCCGCGGCCGCTTCTCCCGCCGCTCCCGCCCCGCCCCGCCCCGCCCACGGGGGGCAATGGCGGCGCCGGCGCTGAGACGGGGGGCTGAGGTGAGTTCCTGTCCCCCAGGTCCCCCGCCTCCTCACCCCGCACCCACAGCCCGGTGCGGGCCTGTCCCTCCTGCAGCTCCGCCCGCGGGGAGGACCGTGAGGAAGGCGGAGGGGAGGGCGGAGCGCGGTGGCTTCTGAGGACACAGCCAGCGCGGGGCGGAGAGCACAGGGGTGACCGGCCTCTGAGGTTCCCCTGAGGGTGTGGCTGTGAGGATCGGCGGGCAGATCAGAGGCTGCAGGGAGGACTCACAGCCTCATGGGGGCTTTCCCGGCTGTGGGGTCCCTCAGGGGCCGGGGGTGGTCCTGGACCCGCTGGAAGACAGGCTTCTCCACATGCCATGTGCCAAGTTCCTGGGGGAGTCCAGCGAGACCCAGTGGCATTGGAGCAGGAAGGGGGCAGAGCTGAGGGAGTGAACCTGGGACTGAAGATGGGAAGGGGATAAACATTACCCAGTGTGTGCACATCCGGAGGAAGTGTAAGCTGATGGTCCCCGGGACCTGGTGTGGGGACTGAAAGGCGAAGAATAAGGCCAGGCTTGGCTTTGTCTGGGAGGCATGATCTAGGAGGCTGCAGTGGAATGGCGTGGCAGGAAGGCTGGGGCCCTGCAGGCATCGCCCAGAACGTAAATGGCATTGCTCTCTCCCCTCCCGTCTCCCAATTTTCCCCACCCAGCCCAGCTGCTCTTGCTGAGGTCGGTAATAGTCATTAATAGGACTTGAAGGGAGATCAGCCAGCCTTAGAATTAGGCCCTGGAGGAGGCTGAGCTTGGGGAAGATGTGCAAGTAGAATTACTGGTTGTCAGAAAGACAGCCCTGGTTTCAATTGTCTCCATTCTAACAGGTTGGCATGACCTTGGAGGACATTGCCCTGTACTTCTCCAGGGAGGAATGGAGCCTCCTTGATGAGGGTCAGAGACAGCTGTACCTGAATGTGATGCTGGAGAACTTTGAACTTGTATCCTCGCAGGGTAAGACTCTCACTCTCACCTGAACTTGGCTTTGCTATTTCTCTTGTCCCATCCCCCAGGGTGTGCTGTGTCCTTCCCTGTAGGACTGTGGTTCTGCTTGATTTTCCAGTTTCCTGGGTAGTTGGTGTCCTGGGGAGGGTTGGTCTGTTTCCACTGCTCCCTTCTGTTCCTGAAGTCCCACTTCTCCCCGCTGGACTAAGTTCACAGGGAAGGACTTGTGGTTGGTAGTGTTGCAGGAAGCCTGAGGGATTCCACCTTGATCAGTGAGGAAAGCATTTTCTATGTTCCTGTTGGTTACATGTACATATTTTTTGAAGAATTGTCTCTACCTCCTTATCCTATTTATTAACTGTAGTTTGTGGTTAAAGGGTCTTTTGATTACCTTGTATATTTTGTATATTAATTGCTTATTACAGACAGGAGCACATATTTTTGCATGTGTTTAATTGTGCTTTGCAAATATTGCCCACCCCCCTTCTCTTTTTTACATATCCCATGTTATTGGCAAACCTGCATTCACCAGGTGTAGTGCCACCATTTTGCTAACAAGCTCAAATGCTGGTTGCCAGTGTTTAGCAATCAAGTATATTTTAAGTTATATAGAGTTGGTGGTGGTTGTTGTTTTTTGAGTTTTTTTTAGACAGTCATTGCATTGTTACTAACCTGTAATAGTGTTAACATACCTTTATTATTCACTGGGAACTCCAACTATTTGTGTGGATTTCTATCTGTATCGCAGTATTTGCTTTATTGTGCTGATCTGAATTGAATCCACAATATCTCCAAGTGATTCCTTCATAGGATTTTGGAGTATTTTCTCCCATCCTATAGGTTGCCTTTCATTTCATTTTGTTTATTACTGTTGTACTGTGAAGAAGCTTTTTATTTATTTTTTTTTATCCTTGTTGCAGTATGGACTTTATTTTTTCTATGCTGCCTGGTGGTTGCTGTCAAATTCAGAAAATCCTTTCCAAAACAGACCTCAAATTTTTCTTTAGGCTGTCCTGAGGAGTTTTAAGTTTTAGTGCTGATATTTTATTCTGTCCTGCAGGTTGAGTTTTATCAGTGGTGTCAAGTTTTGTTGTTTTACATGTGATTATTCATTCATTGAAGAAACTATCTTTCCTTTCTTCTGTGTCTTGCAGCTTTAACAAAGATTACTGGAACCTATGTGCCTGGGTTTATTTCTGTGTTTTCTGTTCTGTTCTATTGATATATGTGTCTGTGTTTCTCTAGCAACACACTGTTTGCTTGCTTTTTCTTTGTAATAAATTGAAGTCAGAAAGTATGATGCCACTAGCTTTGTTCTCGCTCAAGATTGCTTTTGCTATTCAAGATCTTTTGGTTTTATACATTTCAACATTCTCTTTTCATTTCTTTATAAAATACCATTGGAGTTATCAGGATTGCATTTAATCTATAGATTGCTTTGCATATTGTAGAAATCTTCATGATACTCCATTTTCTTTCTTTTTAAAAAAATATTTTTATTGATTTCAGAGAGGAAGGAAGAGGGAGAGAGACAGAAACATCAGTAATGAGAGAGAATCATTGGTTGGCTACGTCCTACCCGCCCCCTACTGGGAATCAAATCGGCAACCTAGACATGTGCTTTGTCTGGCATTAAATCCAGGACCCTTCAGTCCACAGGCTGACAATCAATCTCTCCACTGAACCAAACCAGTTAGGGCTCAATTTAATTATTTTTTTAATTCTCACTAGAATAGTGAAGATATTATATATATATATATATATATATATATATATATATATACACACACACACACACACACACACACACACACATATATTTTAGAGAGAGTGAAAGGAAAAGGAGGAGAGGGATTAAAAGTGTGGGGAGATATTGATGTGACAGAGACACATCAATTGGTTGCTTCCCATAAGTGCCCTTATTGAAGGAGCAGGGATCTGTTTGGAAATTGGAAACCTGCCCTTGACTGGAAATTGAACCTAGGATTCTCTAGTGCACAGGCCACAATGGCCAGGGCTGTTTATTTTTTCTTTAAAACTTTTTCTTATTTATTTATTTAACTTATTTTTAAAATATATTTTAATTGATTTTAGAGTGGAAGGGAGGTAAAGAGCGAAAGAAGCATCAGTTAGGAGAGAGAATAATTGATTGGCTGCCTCCTCCACACCTGTGGTGACCAAGCCCACAACTTGTGCATGTGTCCTGATGAGAAATCCAACAGTGCCCTCCTAGTTTATAGGATTGATGCTCAATCACATTTATTTACTTACTTACCTACAGGGTGGTTTTTTTTGTTTTTTTTAAGTATATTTTATTGTGTTGTGTTTTGTTTTGTTTTTTACAGAGAGGAAGAGAAAGGGATAGAGAGTTAGAAAAATCAATGAGAGAATCATCGATCAGCTGCCTCTTGCACAACCCCTACTGGGAATGTGCCCGCAACCAAGGTACATGCTCTTGACCGGAATCAAATGTGGGACCTTTCAGTCCACAGGCTGATGCTCTATCCACTGAGCCAAACCAGTTTTGGCCAGATAAATTTCTTATCTCTGCTTCATTTATCTTTATGAAGAGTTCCCTAGTTCTTTCATTTGGGAGTGGTTTCTTTGTTTCCTCATTTTGTTTATTTGGGTTTGTGACTATGTTTTAGGTAAATCCTCTATATAAGTGGCTCTCAACCTTCCTAATGCTGTGATCCTTAAATACAATTCCTCATGCTGTGGTGACCCCCAACCATAAAATTATTTTCGTTGCAACTTCATAACTAATTTTGCTACTGTTAAGAATAGTAATGCAAATATCTGGTATGCAGGATATCTTTGGCAACCCCTGTGAAAGGGTCATTGAGAACGACCCCCAGATTGAGAACGACTGCTTTATACCTTTCAATCTCTAGTACAGGACAGTGTTAAAGGCTGTTTCTGACTAATTGGATCAGGCAAAGACTCAAAGTCTACGCATTGATAGGATTCCAACTTGAATTGCCCCCAGGCAATTGTCCTTCAGGTGTGAGAGTTTTGTGTTTGTTTGTTTGTGTTTTTGTTTGTTTGTTTTTTAGAAGGGTGGAGCAGTTGCTTTTGCCTGCAGGCTATTGCTTTTTAAATTTTTTTAATTTTTATTTATTTCAGAGAGGAAGGGAGAGGGAAGAACAAAAGAGATAGAAACATCTATCATAGAGAATCATGGACGGGTTGCCTCCTGCATGCCCCCTACTGGGAGTCGTGCCCACAACCCACTTGCCTGGGAATCATATAGGGTTAGGGTTAGGGTCAGGATTAGCAGGCCAGTGGTCTATACACTGAGCCAGACTGGCTAAGGCTGTTACTTTTAATCTCTTATGTGGCCTCAGGGCTTGATGTTTTCCAATAGGGTATGGACTGTCTTCTCCCCAGGCAAGTCTAATGTCTCTGGGAAAGATATCCTCCACTGAGTGAGGGTGTGACTCAGCCCAGGGAATTTGAGGTGTCTGCTTTCTGAGCTCTATATTCTGAGTCCCCAAGCTTGGCTTCTGCTCTCACAGCTCCAGTCCCCTGTGCCCTCCTCTAGGTGGGTGATTCCACAGGGAATTTTTGTGTGTTGGCCCTTTAATAGGATGTCTGAATTTTCAGTTGTCACTCCCTGGCAGACAGCACCCCACTGCTTTTCACAGCTAGATGTTATATGGGTACCCTCCTCGGTTTTGGTGCTCTTTGCTGGGGAACCAGCTTCAGGATTAGATCCCAGAGTTCTCAGCGGCATCCCCCACAGCTGAGATATCTCTGAGATTTTGGTTGCAGTCTGTGGGTGCCCAACCAGCACTTTTGCTCCTCTGTCTTTCCTACCAGTCTCTATGCGTCTCCACCTTTGGTCCTTTGGTGTCAGGGTTCTCACCTGCGAGTTTTCCATTGATTATTCAGGAAGCCTTTCTGTATTTCAGTTGTAATTCCAGCTTGTTCCTGGGATCATGTCTGCAACATCCTCCTACTTTGCCGCCATTCTTAATCTCTGGGCTTTATTTATTGATTTCAGACATAGGAAGGGAGACAGAGAGAAAGAGAGAAACATTGATCTGCTGTTCTACTCTTCTATACATTTCACTGGCTGTTCCCTGCATGTGCCCTAATGAGGAAATGAATCCACAACCTTGGTGCATTAAGAACATACTCTCACCAACTGAGCCACCTTGCCAAGGCTCTGTATTTGTTTATTAATTTCAGAATTTTATAGTAGGATATTGATAATTTCCTCTATGTAAAGTCATGTCATCAGCCAGCATCTCTTATGATATGTTGTGGTTCATAGTGTCAGATCTAATGTAGTTGGCTGTCCTGAAATTCCTATTTATTTATTATTGATTTCTGATAGAGCGGAATAGAGATAGAGAGAGAGAAACATCAGTGTGAGGAGATGTTTGGTTGCCTTCCTCACACACCCAAACTAGAAATGGAACCCATATCCTGATAAGTGCCCAGACCAGGAATTGAACCCCTAACCCTTTACACAAGACCCTTTACACAACTAAGTGACACCGGCCAGGGTTTGGGGTGTGTGTGTGTGTGTGTAAGTATATTTTTATTGACTTTAGAGAGAAGGCAGAGGCGAGTGAGTTAGAAACTTCAACGATGATAGAGGGGGCATGCCCCCTACTGGGGATCAAGCCCACAACCCGTGTATGTGCCCTTGACCAGAATTAAACCTGGGACTGTTCAGTCCACAGGCTGGTGTTCTGTCCACTGAGCCAAACTGGCTAGGGTCTTTTCTGTGTTTTTTAAAAACAAAAATTTCCAGTATTTTTCAAAGAATAGTCCACTAGTGTCAATTATAGGAGAAAGACAATAGCTGATAGATTTAACTCTGACCTTGTTTTTGACTGCAGTTATCTTTAAATATGTTTGTTCACCCAGTCTTTCCAGTCATCCTTTCTATTTAGTTCTCCTTTATTTGTGTTCTGCATTACTTTTTGTACAGTATTCATCGAACTATTATTCACCTTTTCTGTGGGGTTTTTGTTCATAGATAGCTGTCTACATACTCTGAGATGGGGAACGATTCTCATATCTCTGATACTGTCATCTTGTTCATGTCACTCACATAGGTCTTTTTGCTGTGGTCTATCTTGTGCTTTGTTGTTCTACCACAGTATTGACCATCCTTTTCAGTTTTTCTTTTAAGATTTCTATCGTCTTCATCCCATATAATGGCTCACCTGGGATTTAAGGGCAAGAGTCATTTGTGCATCACAGAAGAAACATGACTTTAAGAATGTCAGGTTGGACCCAGAGGCAGGTTTTTCCTTGATGAAGGGTTATTTGAAAGGGTTCGATGGCAGAGCTTATTAAGGTCATAATTAGGGACCCATCTTGTTCAACAGTATTTTTTTGCAGTTTGCCCATTCCTCACTCCATTTTACATGCTCTTGCTTATTGTTGACCCTACTCAGTTCTAATAGTTGATCATTTCTACTTGAATTCTCAGCCCATGGATTATCTTAACCACTCTACACTGCACTGCTACTACCTCTCTCACAGGTCTCTCTTTACTGCAAACTAACATTGCTCCATGCCCACAGAGCTTTGGAGGGCACACATATTATTATATTCTCCTTAAGCATCATGTGCTCTGATAAAATTGACTTTAATGGTTTGAGCACATTCAGATTATTCTATATAAACTCAGGTCCCCAGCATGAAAAGTCCTAAAGGAAGCTGTTTGTGGAGAAACAGTGAGTACAGACTTCCTCATTTGTTTCCCATCCTATGATCACAAAGTCTCATCCTTGGTGAGATTTTCACCATTGACTGACCTTTGGGGCCAAGTAATGTATACCAGCCATTTCTTCAGTGTTGATAATTCACTTTTCTTGAAAATCATTCTATGGAATCATGCCTAGTCACGACAGATAAACATTTGTGGTGAAGATATTCTTTTTTTCTAAGGTCAACATGAACCTCACCAGCGTTTCCTTTTGTTCAGGTTGCTGCTGTGGAGCTGAGAATGTTGAGGCCCTGACTGAACAGAAGGTTTCTGTAAGAGTGTCACAGGCAAGGAATCCCAAGGTAGCCTTGTCTTCCCAGAAGAGCCACCCCTGTCACAATTGTGGACTAGTCTTGAGAAACATTTTCCAATTGATTGAGCTGCAGGAGACTCAGCAGATCCATGTACTATTGAGGTGTGGGGCATGTGCAAAACGATTTTCTTTCAATGCAACATTTCACCAGCACCAGGAGAAGCACTTTAGAAAGAAGCCTTTTAATAGAGGTGTGGACAGGATCTCACTTGCAAAGAGCTGCAATTTCAACGTGTCCCAGAATCATTTAACCTGTGTGCAAGTTGGGCAAGGCGTCCTTACTGGGTCAGGACATCTCCCCCCAAAGGCTACTCAGAGCAGGGACAGGCCAAATGAAATCTCAACATGTGAGATGACCCTTCAGAGGACTAAAAATTATTACACTAGAAAAGATTATAAGAAAGCCATTGGCTGCAACCGCGTGTTTGTTCAGGATAAGAATGTTCGTACTGGAAGAGTGGGTTTTGTGTGCCGTGAATGTGGAAAATATTTTACCAAAATTTCTAGTTTTTGTTATCATCAGAGATTTCACAGTAGAGAAAGGCCTTATGAGTGCAGTGAATGTGAGAAATCTTTTACCAGTAGCACTGGCCTCCATTATCATCAGAGATTTCACACTGGAGAAAGGCCTTATGTGTGCAGTGAATGTGGGAAATCTTTTACCAGTAGCACTGGACTCCGTTATCATCAGATATTTCACACAGGAGAAAGGCCTTATGTGTGCAGTGAATGTGGGAAATCTTTTAACAGGATATATTACCTTCGTTGTCATCAGAGAATTCACACTGGAGAGAAGCCTTATAAGTGCCGTGAATGTGAAAAATCTTTTACCACTAACAATGGCCTCCGTTATCATCAGAGATTTCATTCAGGAGAAAGGCCTTTTGAGTGCAATAAATGTAGGAAGTTTTTTATCGGGGTCACTGGCCTTCATTATCATCAGAGAGTTCATAATGGAGAAAGGCCTTATAAATGCAGTGAATGTGGGAAAACTTTCATGAGTAGCACTGGCCTCCGTTACCATCGTTTATTTCACACAGGAGAAAGGCCTTATGTGTGCAGTGAATGTGGAAAATCTTTTACCAGGATCTACTACCTCCGTTATCATCAGAGAGTTCACACTGGAGAAAGGCCTTATGAGTGCCATGAATGTGGTAAATCTTTTACCAGTAGCAATGGCCTCCGATATCATCAGAGATTTCACACAGGAGAAAGGCCTTATGAATGCAATAAATGTGGAAAAGTTTTTACTGGGATCACTGGTCTTCATCATCATCAGAGAGTTCACACTGGAGAAAGGCCTTATGAATGCAGCGAATGTGGTAAAGCTTTTACCAGTGGCACTGGCCTCCGTTATCATCGGAGATTTCACACAGGAGAAAAACCTTATGAGTGCAGTGAATGTGGGAAAACTTTTACCAGTAGCACTGGCCTCCGTTATCATCTGAGATTTCACACAGGAGAAAGGCCTTATGAGTGCAGTGAATGTGGGAAATCTTTTGCCAGGATCTATACCCTTCGTTGTCATCAGAGAATTCACACTGGGGAAAAGCCTTATGAGTGCAGTGAATGTGGAAAATCTTTTGCCAGTAGAAATGGCCTCCGTTATCATCAGAAAGCTCACAGTGGAGACAGGCTTTATGAGTCCAGTTAATATGGGAAATCCTTTATCTGGATCCATGGCTTTTGTGATCGACAGAGTTCAACTGGAGAAAGGCCTTATGAGTGCAGTGAATGTGTGAAATCATTTAGCCAAAATTCTAATCTTTCTCTGCACTAAAGAGTTCAATGGAAGAGAATTCTTAGATGTGTACAGATTTTTAGTTCAATATTAACAATTTTATAGGAAAGCCTTATTTTTCTTATACAGTCACTGTAGGGAGATTCACTATGAATTTTGCTTATGTGAAAAACGTGAGTCCAGGTTGCATTTTGTAATTTAGCCAGATGTCTTGCCGGATCCATGTCGCTGCATATTTCTGTTGCTGAAGCGATTTCATAGGTATCCACGGGTTCCATGAGTCGTATCTTAGTGTATTCAGTGTGGTAACTTTGATTTGAGAAAATTAGGAGCTGCCTGAGCTTTTAGGGAATCTCATTCATTTTCTTTTTTTTTTTTTTCTTTTTTTTTTTTTCTTTTTTTTTTTTTTATCCTTACCTGAGGTTAGTTTGCTATTGGATTTTTTTCTTTTTTAAGAGATAATGGAAGGGATGGGGGAGAGAGAGACATGTCAATTGGTTGCCTCCTGCACCCACTTCCATTAGGGAGGAGGGATCAAGCCTGCAACCGAGGTGCATGCCCCTGACCATAATTGAAGCTGGCACCCTTTGGTCCAAAGGTGTACATTCTATCCACTGAGCCAAATAGGCCTGGGCTTTTGTAAACATTTATCCAAATGTGTGTGTGTTTTGTTTTGTTTTATTTGTTTTTGGGTTTTTTAGTTAGAAAGGAAGAGGTTTAGAGAGCTAGGAACAACAATAAGACAGAAACATTATCAATTGGCTGCTTCCTGCACACACCCTCATTGGGGATTGAAGGCACAACCCCGCATGTCTATTACTGGCAATCAAAAGAGGGACTTTTTGGTTCCTGGGTTGACACTCAACTGCTGAGCCATACCATCCAGGGCATTCCTCTCACTCTGACTAGTTGGCATATGAACCAGAGAACATCACCTGAGTTCAGCTAGCAAATACTGTCTTTTCCGAGAACGTGCTTTTTCCATTTAACAATGATGAACTTTTTGAGTATCCAAGTCATCCATGAAAGAACTGTCAGACTCATGTTCATTTGGTTAGTAAAATATTTATGGCCACGCCCAGCCAGTATGGATCAGTGATTGAGCATCAGCCAGTGAATCAGGAAGTCAGGGTTTGATTTCTGTCAGGCACATGCCTAGGTTGTAGGCTCCATCCCCATTGTGGGGTGTGCAGAAGCAGCCAATCGGTGATCCTCTCTCATCAATATTTCAATCTCTTTTCCTCTCTGAAATCAATGTGTGTGTATATGTATCTTTTTATTAATTTCAGAGAGGAAGGGAGAAACAGAAACATAAATGATGAGAGAGAATTGCCTGCCACCTGCACGCCCCCCTACTTAGGATTGAGCTTGCAACTCAGGCATGTGCCCTTGACCGGAATCAAACCTGGGACCCTCAGTCTGCATGTTGACATTCTATCCACTGAGCCAAATTGGCTAGGATTCAATAAAAATATTTTTTTAAAAATATCAAAGTCCTTTTTTCTAAGTCTTCTTTAATCTTGCGTGTTCTCTTTATTCTGTCAGCTAGTTTATGAGCATACTGGGCTCTACAAGCATACGAGGTGAACAACTTTTATGGGGGATTTCTAACTTTCCCTATGAACAATATGGTGCAGAAATTAGCAATTTTGCCCACTTTGCATTGCTGCTTATATTTTCCTATGAAAGACTGGACTTTCCAGTCCTCATGTGACACCTGGATTCTGTAAGTCTGGACAGCCAAAGATCACTCCAAAGGGGGGGTAACTGACAACTTCAAGTACACCTGGAGGCAGCATTAATTTTTTCTTGTTTTTTCAGAGGCTGCCCATACTTTTGATGGGACTTTCTTGTCCAGGTCTTGTGAAGGGTTTTTTGCCCTTATATCTACAATTCTATGGGTGATGGTCACCGGTTGGAGGACCCTAAGGGTGAGGGGAGCCATGATCACCTCAGAACCACTGGCCTAACACTGTGTTGGAAAAGAGTGCTGTCAACTAGATGGAATGTGCCTCTTGTAAACGTGCATCCAGAATGTTCTGAGGAAAAGACTGCAGGGTGGCTTGTACACATTCCTGAGGATCTCCACGCGTGTTTATCTTCTGTGGATGCAGTCATTGACATTGAATATAATCAAACGTTTCTGTGTGTGTCTGTAGCTTCTCAGACATTCACGTCAGAGCCATTGGTACCCTGGCAGAAAAGAAAGATAAGACACGTATATATGGTCCCAGGGATATGGTTTTGTATTACAGCCAGTATTTGTGTTGGTCTGGGTCAAAGTCCTTTATTGTTTGCTATATTTGCTGTTACTCAGGCAAGACTCTTTCACAGGGCAAGAGAACATAGAGTGAATATCAAGTTGGCAAACCTGCTTTTTGTTGTTGTTATTTTCAGAAAATCTTGGTCATACAATTTTAAAAAGCTTGCACCAATTTTAACAAGGTTTATTTAGCAAATGCAATGTCAAGTATACTATTTGATGAGTCTTTACATGCATGCAATTGAAACCATCACCATAATCACAGTACCAACCATATCTGTCACTGTGCATTTACTTCATGTTCTTTCTTCTTTTTTAAAATATATTCTATTGATTTTTTACAAAGAAAAAGAGAGAGGGATAGAGAGTTAGAAACATTGATGAGAGAAAATCATTGATCTGCTGCCTCCTGCACACCTCGCAGGGATGTGCCTGCAACCAAGGTACATGCCCTTGACCGGAATCGAACCCGGGACCTTTCATTCCGCAGGCTGACGCTCTATCCACTGAGCCAAACCGGTTTTGGCTACTTTATGTTTTTTTTTTGTTTGTTTGTTTTGTATATCCTAATTCTTCATGTTCTTTATGAATCTCTCTGCCCTTCACAGCTTTCCAAGTAACCATTGATTTATACTCCATTTTAATAGATAACTTTGCAATTTCGATAAGTTTTATATGATGGGAATCAGCATTTTTTCCAGTATTTATGTTGCATAATTGGAGATTTATTAATGATATATTAGTAGCTTATCTTTTTTGCGGCGAAAAGTTTTTTTATCTTCGACATATTTTTTATCTTCATATTTTTTTTATCTTCAACATATTATTTTTAAAAATAAAAATTTAATGCAGGAAATTTATTACACGGATAACAGGTGGAATGCCAAGCACAGACAGTGAAGATATCTGCAGGAGAAAGTCACTAGTACAACATTTGGGGTCTCATTGAGGAGATGACTTTGGTACCCCAACACCAGGGGTCATGGGGAGGACATGGTGTTACCAGAGCCCAGAAGCGGAGGCCCCTGTCAGAAAGGGAATCACAGTAGGACTGTTGGGTAGGAGCCAAAGGAGACAAGCAATCCCTTGAAGTCATGAGCAAAGTGAAGAAATGCCCTTGCTCCCTCTTTTCCTTTTTTTTTTTTTTTAAATTTTATTTTGATATATTAGTTTATTAAATATGCTTCTAACTTTTGATTATTTGTAATAAAGCTGGTACACACATTTCTGAGAAAGGAATGGAGAGGGAGAGAGAAACGATAAGAAAAAGAAACATCCATTGGCTGCTTCCTGCATGCCCCGTACATGCGCCTTGATTAGGAATCAAACCCGTGACTTGGTGCATGGGTCAACACCCAAACACAGCCACACCGACTCACCTACAGTTGACACTTCTGTTTTCATCACATTCTTTCAGAAGTCCAGTCTCTCGATGCTATTATAAGCTGTTGCTTTATAAAATTCTCCCTTTTTCCTGGTCTCCTGTCATGGGGGTTCTTGCATTAGAACAGGGCTCAGGTGGCATCAGGGTGGGCAGGGTGTTCTAGAGTCCCAAAGCCAGTGCAAAAGTAAATAGGGGGGCGGGGCAGTGATCAGACTCCCCATGCCCTAGGTCTGGCATTTTGGGTTTGAGTCCAGATTCCCGAATATCATTGGGACAAACAAGGAAATGTCCTCTTCTCTGTGGGCTTCAGTTTTCTCCTCTGTAAAGTGGGGATAAAGTCTGTGAGCTGTTAGAGGCGGTCAGCTGTGAGGGTGTCCGTTCACAGTATGATATCTGCCTGGGCTCTGGCAACGTCAGCCTCTTAACTGCAAAGACAAATGCATTTCAGGCTGGGCATCACTCCTCCAGTACTGACGAGCACCTTTACCTTGGGGTGTGTTTGAGAGGCTCACTAGCGCTCCCTGACTCAGTTTACTCCATTTGACATGAAGGTGATGATAGCAGTTACCTTGGTCTTTGAGGTTTGGATTTACCATTTTTCTTAAAGTTCTCTACTGGTTGGGTTGCATGTCTAAGGATTCTTTGTCCAACATGAGGTCATGAGAAATACCTTCAATGTTCGTTTTCTGCCAAATGTATGTATATGTGTGTGTAACTATAGGTATGACTATTTTTCAGAGCAATTTTAGATTTACCAGCAACATTGAGTACAAAGTATTTCGAGTTCCCCAGGCCACCAATTTTTTCTTTCAATATTTCTGTCTCTCCCTCTCCATTCCTCTCTCAGGAATGTTTGCAGCAGCTTTATGGTAAATAATCCAAAATTAGAAATAAAAGTGAGTACTTGCTATCAGGATTGGAGGGTTAGCTTTTG